CCAAAAACTCTTAAATTTCAGATCGGTAAATTTAATAAATTCATTATTAAAATACTTACACAAGAGACCTATCAGCCAGATGTCCACCTGTGCATTTTTTCTCAATTTAATGCATGAATATATTTTATGTTGGGTATAGAAAAATATTGTAGGTTCATTATCTAGGTAGAAGGGGGGGTGTAGAGGTAAAAACTTTTATGCGGGTATTACTGTCTTATGACAGCATCTAGATATAACTATAGGTACTTACTATGTGTATTTTATTATGGCAAAAATATCTAATTTCAAAAGTAATTTCTAAAATTATTTGTTTATATTTACAATATATTTTGTCACCCTAATTTTTTTTCTCATTTTTAAACCATCAAACCCATATGATGTTTGTTTCACTAATTAATGTGAAAGTCTCAATTTCTAACAATTAAACCTCTTTAGTTCTCCAATGAGTCAAAGCTCATTTCCATATAAAAGACTGAACAACTTAATTTGTGAGAAGGATCATTTATTCAATTTACTTCAAAAATATTTGATGAAATTGGTAACAATCGTTGATAAACAAAAAAAAAAAAGACAAAATAAATGTCAATAGATTTGCAAAGGTTGAGTTACAAAAACCCAGCAGAACCGAAAGAATGAAAATACCCCCCCCCCCTTCAGAACTACCTATAATATCTACTAAAAAAGAGGACCTCTCTATAAATACGGGTACAGTAGTTAAATATACTGTGATTGTCATTAAAACTACGTAGAATTTTAACATATTACATTAATTTAACGTCATATTATATCCAAACGAACCAGACATACTTTAACAATTCGTCCTCATAATTTGAATTTAAAAAAATCAAATATATCAGATATTTATGAAAATTGTCTCAAATTCAAAACTGCAAAAAATGGTCATGAGGCATTGACAAAATTGAACGCTTCACTACAACACTTTTGTGTCTTTATGAGGGCTGTTCGGAAATTATTGAGACAATTACTTTTACTTCATAAAGCATGGAGATAATTTCATGAAAATTCATCAACATTTTATATAGAACAAATTAAACAATTATGCAAAATTTCAAATTCCTATGATAATAAGAAAAGTTTCGGTGAAATAATAAATATGCATATGTCTAATGACCCGGAGCAATCACTACGTCATTTAACGTCACGTCAGTCGAAGATGGTTTCGCTTGTAAACGATCGGGAAGCTTTTAATAATTTTCCTTCTTTGTTATTACATATAACATTACAAAAATTGTAAGTCTCTTTTTTTAAAACTATTCTTTAAAAATGTATGCTGTTGCTACCCCAGTATAAAATTTCCATTTGTTGGAAACTCGCCAAAACGTATTCATGTGATTTAGAGCTTTAACAGTAAACATCCCACCTACCTTTATAATGAAATAAACAAATAATGCTTATTAAAGTTTTTCACCGAAGACGTTCATTAGAAAACAAAATATACAAAGTGTCTCAATAATTTTCGAACAGCCCTCGTAGTCATAGCTTTCATAAATGACGCTTAAACAATATAAAGCTGAAATGTAAACGTGATTACTCCTATATAATTATTATTTAAAACATTGCTTCAATTAAAAAAAATCGAATTTTAAAAGCCAGAGAGCAGTAACATGAAAAATAATTATGTTTTTCACTCATGAAACGTGTGCAACTCTGAAAATGCAGAAGGAAAATGAAATACATAAAAATGATCCAATCATTTACATAAAGTAGAAAAAATGGAAAAGACATGCACTTTTGAATGCTCAGATATATACCTTAAACTGGACGAATTTGTAGAATATTAAATGTATATACATGTATAATGAAGCAAATAAAAAAAGCCAATATGGATATAAAGATTTGATTGCTTATTCTTTATTATGTGTATAGAAGATTCTTTTTATATAGAATATAAATCACACTGTAATGATGATTTTATGAGTTTGTACAAGCCAGATGTCATAACATTTCACACGCTGAATATTATCATTTAGTTAAAACAAGTATTCAAAAAAAAAAAAAAAGGAAATATGGATCGTCTGGGATTCGAACCCGGGGCCTCTGTCTTGTAAAGCGAGAGAGACATTCCCCTACCCCACGGAGCCGCTTTCTTCTTTCTAAATTTATATGCAAACAGTAGGTCACATACATGTATATAATTATTCATTTTCGATTTAATAAAATAAATATTAATAAAACAAACGGGGCGGACACTTTAAGAGAGGTGAGAGAGGCACAAGGAAGTTTTGGTATAAAATTTTATTGCAAAAGGTCAAAATCTTCTTGAGATATTGCCCGGAATTGAAAGTGTTACACACAGACGGAATGTATAAATTTACGACCTTGAACTTTGACCTTTAGATCTCAAAATCAATCGGGGGGTCTTCCTTAGGCCACAGGGAGTTGTTATGCAAAATTTCATTTCAAAAGCGTTAAGGATTCTCGGGATATCATGTGGAAACGAAAGTGTTTTAACAGACAGAATTTATGAATTTATGACCTTGAACTTTGGCCTCTTGACCTCAAAATCAATAGGGGTCTTTCTTAGGCCAGAGGGAGTTGCTATGCAAAGTTTCATAACGAAAGCTCAAAGGTTTGTCGAGATATCGTGCGGAAACGAAAGCGTTACAGAAAGTCAGAAAGATGGACGGACGGATGGACAGACCCAAATTAATATCCCACTTTCAGTGAAAGCGGGGGAAAAAATCTCACACTGCAGTCTCACACTGGACAGATCTATCTAACACCGGTGATTATGCGAGAAAATATATTAGAGATATTTTAACTGAGTGGCCAAGATGCTTTAGACCGCTTGAGAAATAAAGAGAGAGAAAGATTTGGGGAAACTTTCACAACGTTGCTTTTGATGTTACAATGTTCTGAATCGTACATAGTATTAATTTCTCAATCAAATGGAAGGGAACCTTACAAGATGACAGTTTTTTTCCATTTGAAAATGTGTTATACAAATAAATGATGATGAGCGATATTGTCAACGTTTTTAACGACCTTCATAGCTATGAAATATGTTTCGTCCATCATAAAAATTAAACAAATGTAGCCCTTTCATGAGGTTAATCTTTTAATTAGATATACCGACTTCACAGAAAAGCATATTAATATCCGTGAAGTCGGTATATCTAGAGATTGAACAAATGAAAGTGCTACATTTGTAATATTATTTTTTTTTTACAGAGATGGGCAAAGCAAAATTTGAAAATATTAATGCAAAGAAGCCACAGGTTTTCTCTCTTTCCTTTCAGACATCAAAATAAGCTGACAATTGTTGCGTTTCCTTTATACTGATAACGTGATTTAGGAAAAGTAATTTAAAAGGCAACATTCGTTGTACATGTATTACATTTTATCAATTAATGAAAAACATCTGTACATGTATTACATTTTATCAATTAATGAAAAACATCTTATGTTATATTATAAAGGCCCTTTCACATGGCGCACGAGCACTTTACAACACTAGCGATCGGATAATTTTAGCTTCGCACGACCTCTCGCATACGTTGCACGGTGTCTCGCATTCGTTGCATGCGTTTTAGTGGTCGCATCAAGTCTCCTCAAAACAGTCGACATGCAAACTATTCAGACGCGACCAAATGCTATCCAAATTATCGCAATTCAAAGCACGGATATTAGTACGAACATCTTACAACGTTTCATGAAGGCCTACTCGCAGGAGTGATGCACGGTGCACGGTCGTTAGATGAATCGCAGCTGTCTCTGCGTTTGTTTTGCGACCATGAGATTGTTGCTCAACGTGTCTCATGTAATCTTGCAACGTTTTACTATCATTGCCTGATTTATCAGCTTCAATTGTCATGCTTTGCCACTAGTATATAACCCTATATAATTTATAAGCATCTTAACTCGCATACACTATATCAACTGAAGACCGTCGGAAACGGGCGGTATAATTACCCAGCCCTATGACTCGCACGAACATTCGTACATGTACCATGGAATGCATAAGCGCACAAGCACCGCACGTCCAATCGCATAGGAGCACGTTCAATCCTCTGATTACCTGATCAATCGCATTATCTTAGTCGCAAATAGACGCAAGATGTATTGCAAGATTCAATACACAACAGTCGTGCTAATTTCGAAAGAATACTTTTTCATATGCGATTATTTCGGCAACAGTTTACAATCCTCATCAGAATTATTCGTTCCCACGAATATTTTGTCGCTTCTGCTCGTGCGCCAATTGTGAAAGGGCCTTAAAGTGGATCCTTATGCAAGATATTTTTACATCTTACCAGTTATTACAAGAGAAGTAATACTATTTCAGAATCATCAAATCATATTAGCTATTGTGATGTCATTACTATTTTTGTTTTATGGAAGGTTATTTTCATTTTTAGAAACATCAGGTCGATATATGCATTTCAGAATCTATAAATCACATTGAACATACATACAATTAGACTTACTGATCTACATCTATGAAACATCATTTATCTAGAATCAGGTAAATTTTGTTTTCTAATCCAATGCAAGTGTAAATTTGATTTCTTTTCATAAGTATAGAATTCTGAATATTAAATAATAATTTAATTCTGGTTGTAACGCTGTATTTGACTGGATAAAAAAATTTATTTCAAATCGTATAAAATGGGTTGCCCACGTCACAATGACTTTCGTCAAATCAATCCGCCTGACGTTACATTCAAATTTTATACAATTGAAGTAATTTTGTTTGAACAATCATCTTTTTTTCTTACACCATATGTATGAAAATTAAATTATAAGCAATGAATTTAATAGATACCCATTATATACGGTATAAACTGGGTTGGAACAGTTTACGCTTTTTTCATAAACCACGAAGCGGTTTATAAAGCGTAAACTGCCCTTTATATGTAAGCCTATATACAAATATGTATTCTAAAAAAGAGACGCCAATCATTACAAACAAAATTTATTCACGGTATTGGCATATCAAAATCGAATCATAAAACCTATTTTGCCTTCAATTTGTATTCTTAGGCTAGGTACTTTATTCTCTTAATCATTCCCGTTATACACTCCCCCACCATTAACTCCCCCTCCCTAATGACACACACGGCCCTTGGTCTCTGTATCCCCTGATCAGGAATGATGTACCTCAGGAATCGACCGTCCCTGTCCAGAATGTGAATTTTGTCACCTATAAAGTCCGTGATGATGATATGATGCATGCTGTCTGTGGTACGGGAGCAAAGTTTGATTTTCTCCTTGGATGCTTTGTTCCCTGTGTAGGAGAACCTGAATATTCCGAGATTGTCAACGACTGTGACGGCATTTTTATCCAAGTCAAGTACACAAATATCGCCGTTACCATTCTCCACCACGTAAATTGCCCTCTTAAACAGAGGTTTGTGCAGGGAGTCGTACTGGATTTCCTGCAGGACGTCACCGGAACTGCTGTATCTTACGACCTTTGACTGTGAACCATCTGTTGCCAGGAGACAGACAAGGAATTCATGTGCCGCGGTATAGGTAATACCGTCAGGGTTCCACTCCCCGATACTGAACAATGTATCTATTTTACCGTTTTTAACCTCTTTCAGGGTTTTGTCAGCATCTGGATAAACTATGTGTCCCTCATGCAGAGTCAGGTACAAACCAATACTCTTTTTATTGACAGTGGCTATAAGACGTTCCTGATCAAAAAGCTTTAGGATATCACTGTGTCCTCCTACCCACACCCTGCCGTCACCGAGGGGAACAATGGAATACAACCTGTTGTTGTTTTCTGTAGAAGCTGGAAACTGTGCATCAAAGGCAGTAAGAACTGTAGGTACATCTAGAGCTTTCGGTAATAAGGAGATTTCATCTTCAGCTTCTTGTGTAAGGTTGTCTGTGGGTCTTTTGAACGACTGCAATGTTTCTATGTAACCGAAATACGATGATATTTGACTTTCATTGATCTCGGAAGGTTGAAAGAATGCTGGTTTTGTTTCTTCTATGAAAGTTGGCACTTGTAAGTTTTCAAGTTCTAGCTTGAATTCCATTAATTTCGAAACGTCTTTGGATTTTGCCAAGCTAAATACTTCTTGATCTAAGCTTTTTAATTTCTTCAATATTTCTTCAAATTCTCTTTTTTGCTTCAGTAGTATTCCGTGATGCTTTTCTTCCATTTTGTCTAGATCTTTGTGCAATGCCGTTTCTGCTTTATCGATCACCTGATGCCTTTCCCTGATATGGGAGGTAACATTATTTTTTGTCTTTTTGTAGGCAAGTGGAAGTTCTGCAGATCTTCTGTTGACATGTACCAGAATTTTCTCCATTTCAGATTGTAAGGACTGAAGCTGTTCATTTTCTTTGGCGATAATGTCGGATAATGTGTCAACTTTCTCGGATAACTCGCCAATTTCATGTGCATTGTGCTTCTCCGATAGACATAAGACACAGATAGAAATGTTGCAAGTCTTGCAAAATGCGCTGCTCTCTTGCTGGGGGTGGTCCTGGCATTTATTTTCCTCTGATTCATTTTGTTCGCAAGATTTCACTACATCATGACCATTTTCTGATTCGGAAAGCATGTGTAGTCCTACACATATTGTACAAAGCTTAACTGAACAATTCTTGCATGTAAACTCAGCCGGACTGTCACAAACTTCGCAATCCATCTTAGAAGACTATATGTAAGAAAAAAAATCTTATATATAAAAATGATTTAGGTGGCTATATGTCTGTAATGCAATTCGTTTTAAAGGATAGTGTATATTTATATTCATTTGCATTTCATTTCAATTTCATTTCATTAAAATATATGATAATATGTAAGGTAGTCATTTCAGGCAGTAAAAAGTGACAATTTTAATGAGTTGTAGGTTATTTTCGGATTATAGATACATCTCTTTTTTCATCACAATATCAACTTGAGGTTTTGTGATAATTTTTCTCTACCCAAGCTCTTGACATAAGTCGATATTTGAAAGTTGGGCTAGCAAACTACTTTTTCATGTGTTCTCGATCAGAGACTTGAACCAGTCAGAAAACACGCTTTATTGTAGGTAAGTTTTGTAAACAAAAATGACTCGTCTTTAACATGGAATGTGCGCACATGTAGGTTTTGTGAATAGTACAAAAGGTGAATCTGGCTCTATGCCATTTGAAAACGAATGATTAGAAAAATCTCATTTATTGGTTTATAATTACCATTAAATCGTTTTTTTTCGGTTTTTTTACTCTAAGACCATACAATGGTATATGAGGTACAGGAATATATTTACATATATACAAAATACAAAGTCAAGAAAGGAAGAGTAGTGTCAACTAAGAAAACATTACTGAAAGCAGGCCAATATCTTTTTAGCAAACAAACGCAGCATTATTAGTGAGTCAACATTTGTTATCGATATAGTTGTCTTAAACTCATAAGTATTTACATGAGAACAATACCTCTTATCAATAAGTTTCACACATAATGACAAAAAAATATGGACATTCCATTACATATATTCTTACAGATCTGTCAGTTTGAGTCCATCTACCAGCTTCGGTTAGATGTTTATTCGTAACAAGTTTTAATACAATTCTTAAGTCTTTTGGGGGTTTACTTAGGTATATTTCTCGTCCAAAATTGTTTTTGAAAATCCTGTAATTTAAACATTTAGATGAATTTTCTATGCTCATATGCCAGTCCAGGGACGTAGCAACCGTTTGCTTGTCAATTTTTTCAGGTAGGTAAAAAAAAAATTTCTCTGGTTGCCCCCCCCCCCCCCCCCCACTTTCAAAAACGATGCTACGTGCCTGCAGTCTTGTAAAAACTGACTTAACAATGTTTCTTTCACAATATATTTGAACCATGTAATACTAATGAAATTTTGATTCATCCACACATAAGACAGACCACACGAATTTAAGATATCTCGGATACATTTCAACCATGGGTGCATAAATAAACCTTCAGAAAAGGGTTTATGCAGAAAGCAATACATTATGTATGTCAACTTACTCTCATGTGACATCAAAAGTTTAGCCCAATAAGTAATCATTCGTACCTTTGTACGTATTATTAAAGGATATCGCCCAGTTTCCCTATACACCATACAATTTGAAATACTGGACTTAACATTTAAAACAAATTTCGATAATTTTAAGTATACCTTTTCTAAGATACCTATGTTTTCGTAGCCCCATACTTCACACCCTTACAAAAAATTGGGCTTATAACTCTATCAAAAAGATCTATTTGACAATCTACTGGCAAATCAAAATACCTTATTTTTCTAAGTACTCCATACATGGCTTTTAAAGCTTGTTTAGTTAAATAAGTTTTGGCACTTCTGAACAAACCGCTACGAGACATGATAACACCCAAGTATTTACATTTGTTCACAATTTCAATTGTCGCTTCTCTGTACAAAAATATTGTTGGGGGGATTCTTCCTCTAGAAAAAAATACTATCTTTTTCTTGTTTGTATTTACTTGAAGCTTCCAATGGTCACAATAATCACAGAAAATGTTCAAAGCTCTGTGTAAATCCTCTGGGTTATCAGATAGTAAAACTGTGTTATCAGTATAGAAAAGTATGAACAGTTTAAACATAATCTGCATTTCATTTTCTAATTTGTCACGTAAGCCCTTAATCCCTTCAATATTATTCACCAGTAAATAATTTTCTGAATCATGAAGATATAAATTATAAAGAAATGGGGATAATTTCCCCCTTGCCTTACCCCAAGATTACACATGAAAAACTCTAGGTGTTTTGTCAGTACATATCTTCGATTTTATACCACTGTACATATTTTTGATAAATCTTATACATTTACCGTCTATCCTACTTTTTAACACTGTGAACCACAAACCAGATCGCCATATAGTATCAAAGGCTTGCTTAAAATCAATAAATGCACAATACAGTTTTTCCTTGCTAAAATAGACAAATTTACACAAATATTCTAAAATCAATATGTAATCTATTTTACCATATCTTTTTCTAAAGCTAGTTTGAGCTTCAGTTATCAGGTCGAAATCATCAGCAAAAGTATTCAAACGTTCACATAAAATTCTGGTAAATACTTTTCCTAAACAGCTTAATAATGTTATTGGTCAATAGTTTTCTGGAAGAGTTGGGTCCCCCTTGTTTTTATATATTGGCTTAAGGGGAATGTCCGGCCACCTTTATTGCAGTGAGACCAAAATGTAAACATTTCTTCAAATGGCTAAAATATATTATATTTTGATCAAATTTGAAGTCCTTATAATAAAGATACAATAAATATGCATAACTGAATGTCTGTTGTGTACATATAATCTATACTTTTGCAGAAAAATGCTTTTGATATGCTCCTTACAGCTGCGCAGCTACAGAATTCAGCAGAGCCTTAAAAAATAAAAAAAATATGCAAACTGTGCATTAATTTTCTCTCTACAACCATTTGTCGAGAAAATGTCTAAATTTTGCACTTTTAAATGATAATTTCAAGTTCAAAACAAGGTACCGTTGTCTTCAAAATGAGTGTAAAGAACCATGAAAGTAGTTCATGGATAGCAGCACGTGGTTTATTTTTAGCACAGAATTTTGTTTGCCAGACCCCATCTTAATATGGAGGGACATAACAATCTTTAAATGTAGAAGAGAATTACAGTTGCAAAATATTTCAAATAATATGATCAATTTTAAAAAAGGAAATGTGTTATATTGTGGCTAAAAGTAATTTATTTAGTATTATTATCAAACAGTTGTTAAACAGTGTACGTACTGATACAAAAAAAAATCTTGTAAAACTTTGATTCCAGGTAAGGAAAAATGAGCACCATCAAAGTTAAAAATTAAGAGTTTGTAAGTCTGTCACAGATAACTTATATTATCTATTAAATTTCAATTATTACCAAGAAACACAAAGAAAATTAGACACATAGAATCGATATGTATGATCTTGTTTTAGTAGTCTTACAGTTAGTACGACAGGTGATCAAAAAGTTCGCGAACAATTTCCATATCTACAAAACCACAATTCAGATCAGAAACAAATTTGGTACACACATAGCCATACACAAGGTCTATAAATAACATATGCTGAATAAAGTTTTGCTCTTTGTTTATGACGTCACAATGTGAAAATGACGTCACTATGCAGGTCACTTGTGACGAAAAATGGTTGTCTCAGTGGACCTCGTTCAACAAACGACTGTAGTATTTATGGTTTATCTTAGAAATACCTTTGAAGTAGTGTATAATATTTTGTTCACAGTTTATTAAGACAAATGACTTCCTATAAATTGAATCAATTATTAAATAGATCGTTTTAGTGAAGGAAGGCAGATGGTTAAATATGATACTTGTTATGTTGCCCGGTGAAATCAAGTTTGAAAAGAGATGTATTTTAACTAAGCAATTTGTTATTAAAGACCTCCAATTTACACTTTGAAAAAACTTGAATATTTCAACAATAATATAATTATCAAATACGTAAGATATAGTTTACTTTTTGATAACCCCTCGTATACTGTGTCAAGTAAATATTTTCAATTTTCATTACAGCGGAGCAACATTTGCAAAGAAATGAAATCATTCAGAGTGGGTTAGGAGATTTACCGAATAATTCTTTTTTCAATTTGCCCATATTGTCAAAATTACAATTTTACAGTGTAAAGAAAAAAATCAACATAATTAAATATTTCAGACCATCTTTAAAGTGACCTTTGGATGTCCTCCCAAGTCAGGGAAAAAATTATTGGGTCCGTATTTATAGGTGAAAAAAATCCTTAAAATTTAAACATATTTGCTGACGGAAGAAAAAGAAAAAAATATCGTGTAATGGGATGTAAAAAAAAATATTGAGTCGGGCCATTTCTAGTAGGTCAGGAGAGAGGGCAACCAAATATTTTTGTAACAAGTGGTCTTATAAGACTAGTACATGTTCCATCACATACTTAATAATGCAAAATTTTCGAAGCTTTCGCACAATTTTGAAAAACAAACATAGGATTTTCGGGGAGGGGGGGGGTAGCCTCTCACTCTCTTTTGCGAAGATAGACATAGCATATGCAATGGACCTTTCTTTGCAAACATTGTGCTCGCTTCTAAATTCCAAAGAAACAACTCAATATATTTTATAAAACTTCGTATGTTCAGTGAGTGAGAGCTTACAACGTGGTCAACATAATGAGACATGATGTGTTTTTATGTCCAAACATTACTCCATACAATGTGAGGGTCATTGCAAACAATCTAGCTATTTACAATGTATTTGAGGTACCTGAAGAAAATCCTTTAACTGCCAATTTTTTCTATCTAACTGCTAAACAAAATAGACATATGTACCAACTTTTCGAATATAATACATGTAATAGTCGAGTTTCGAGATTATCTCCCTTGATGCGCTCTTTCGTTGAGGAGGAGAGTTTCGTTGCCGCGTAAACAGACAGGTGGGACAAATATGTAATATTGTGTATATTGGATACATTGCAACATCGATATACCGGTTTATCATAACTACACGATTGTCAGAAAGCACTCTACAACTTGAGAATAACCAAATTAAAGTAAAGGCAGCATATTTTAAAGCAAAAAAAATCGTATCAAATAAGAAAATATCAGTGGATGTGAGACTTATCGGACGAGGGAAGAGTATATGGACCTCTAATAAATACGGTACACATGCATCTGATCAT